CTGTTCTGTTAAATTTTGCTATTCTGAGTGGGGGGAGATGATATCTTATAGTTGTTTTGACTTGCATCTCTCTTAGAGCTAGGGATTTTGAACATTTCTTCATATGCTGGTTAGCCATCTGAATGTCTTGTTTGGTGAAGTGTCTGTTCATATTCTATGCCCATTTTTCTATTGGATTATTTACCTTTCTCTTGTTGTGTGCTCAAGTATTTTATAAATTCTGGCTATAAGTCCCTTATCTGATATGTCATTACCAAATACGTTTTCCCAGTCTGGCTTCCCTTTTTATCCTATTGGAGAAGTTTTTGTATGTGCATAGGGATTTGATTCTTAGAAGGTCCCATTCATCTATTTTATCTTCTGGTTTGTAGGTAGGCTCATAGATATTTAAGGAATTGTAAGGTTAACTTCCACTTTTAGTATCTGGTTCCTTGCCTCTAACTTCTATATTTCCCTCCATCTTTGAAATATAGCTTAGAAATAGATAAAGTTCAGTGTTGTCAATGTTGTTGTCATGTGTTGTCAAGTTACCTGCAACTCATAATGACCCTATATACAACAGCCCTAACCCCTGCTCTATCCCGTGCCAGTCTTATTAATGTCTCTTACCTATTCCCATTACCCCAGTCACTGAATCAGTCCATCTCATCGAGAGTATTCCTCTCCTGTGCTGTCCCTCTACCCTCCCAAGCATGACATCCCTCTTGAAGGACTGATCCTGCCTTGCAACATGTCCAGAGTATGTCAGAGGAAGCTTTAGAATCCTTGCCTCCAAGGAGTAGCCTGGCTTCACCTTCTCCAGGATGAACTTGTTTGTTCTCTTAGCAGTCCATGGGATATTCAATACTCTTCTCCAAAGGCATCAATTCTACTTCTGTCATCCCTAGTCATCGTCCAGGTTTCTGATGCATAGCAAGTAATTGCAAAGACTATGGCCTGTATCAGGCACACCTTAGTCTCTAGACTAACATTGTTGTTCTTCAGTACTTTGGAAAGGTCTCTGACAGACTTTGCCAATGCAATTCACCTTTTAATTTCCTAGCTGCTGGTTTATTTTACAAAATACGAATTATCAACAATCTGCGTTATGCAAATGACACAACCCTGCTTGCTGAAACTGAGGAGGACCTGAAGCGCCTGCTGCAGAGTGTCAAGGACTGCAGCCTACAGTATGGATTCAGGCTCAATGTCAAGAAGACAAAGATTCTCACCACTGGACCAATTGGCAGCATCAGGATGGATGGTGAAGAGATTGAGATTGTACACAGCTTTAGTTTGCTTGGCTCCATAGTCAACAGTCTTGGCACCAGCAGCCAGGAAATTAAAAGGCGCATTGCCATGGGAAAGTCTGCTGTTAGGGACCTCTCCAAAGTGCTGAAGAGCAGTGGTGTCTCTCTGGAGACTAAGGTGCGTCTGATACAGGCCATAGTCTTCGCAATCACCTGTTATGCATCAGAGAGTTGGACAATGACCAAGGAAGATAGAAGGAGAATTGATGCCTTTGAGCTGTGGTGCTGGAGAAGAGTATTGAGAATACCATGGATTGCTAGGAAAACAAACAGATTTGTCCTGGAGAGGGTTAAACCGGGTGGCTCCTTGGAGGCAAGGATTCTGAGGCTCCGTCTAACTTACTTTGGACATGTAGTGAGGAGAGACTGGTCCTTAGAGAGGGACATCATGCTTGGGAGGGTGGAGGGACGGCGCAGGAGAGGAAGGCCCTCTATGAGGTGGATTGATTCAGTGACTGGGATAATTGGGATGGGAGTGTCAGAGACAGTGCGATTGGCACAGGACAGAGCGGAGTTTAGGGCTGTTGTACATAGGGTTGCTATGAGTCGCAGGCGACTTGACGGCACATAACAACAACAACATATATGTATGTGTGTGTGTGTATATATATATACATACACACACATATATAATTATTATTATACTTAAGATTTACAGTAATCTTGTGATGCACTTGACTCTTGCAAGCCTGTACACTAATCAGACTTCCATGGGTACTAAAAGCTAAAAATAAAGCTATTTTCTTTGAGAGCTGCTTGTCCATATGATTTTTTAAAAGTCGAGTTTAGTTTAACAAAAACCATTTTTTCCCTCTTTAATTACTTTTGGGGTAATATTTAAAATGAGAGACATTTTGTAACCCTGTAAAATACATAGGGAATATAACATTCCAGTGTACACAAAGAAGAAAAATTCGTAATCAAATAAAGAGTATTATAAAATGAAAAAAAAAAAAAAAGCTAGAGGAGTGGTTTTGTGGTAGGAAATATAATTGTACAGGAGCTGGCATTTAATACAGAAAACCTGGATTCATTTAGTATGCCTTTCTAATTTAAAGAAAAGGAATAAAATATTTCCAATTTAAATATTTTTCTACCATGAAAAGTAAACAGAGGGTTATAACTTTTTAATTAACTGTGCTAGGCTTGTTTCAGAAATCAGGGAAATCTGTGAAGCACTCTGTGTTCTCTTGCTGGCTTCTAAGAGACACCCACTCTTGAATTAATAACAGCAATTTATGAAGTTGCAATGTTGTATGATTGGTGAATCATTTTACTACATAAAGAGGAGATATCATTATTCATTTGTTTCACTATAGGATAATAGTTTAAGTTGCAATGCATTGTTGTTGTTGTTTTTAAAAAAACCTCAGCAATAAGAGATGCATTTTGCTTTAATGCAGGGTAATTTTGAATTCTTTCTAAGAACTGTTCAATTGAAGAGGAATCTTGGTTGGCCAATGGTTAGAATGCTTGGTTGCTAACCAGAAAATTGGCAGTTTTACTCTAACAGCTTTTCTGCAGGAGAAAGATGTGGCAATCTGCCTCCATAAAGATTTACATTCCCCAAACCCTTCTGGGGCAGCTCTGTTCTTTTCTGTGGTGTCACTATGAGTGGGAATCAACTTGGCAGCAATGGATTTGTTAGTGTTTATTTGGTGCTATTGATCCCCACCACTACCCCAGAGCTTTGGTATAATTATTTTCATTTCTAAGTCATATAAAATGTTAAATACAATAGTTAACTATTGTGTTTTGAAATGTCTGTTAAATGTGGCTGATTCACACTTAAAACTTGATTTTCCTTATCCAACCATTATACTTAGTAATGATTGATCTTCATATATTTCAGGGCATTGTTTGTATATGATAATGATTTAAATCAAGAAAACAAAAGAAACTTCTTAGTTCCACATGAATATTGACCCTTAGAGTTTTTGTTACCACAAACTTTGAATAGGTTTCCAGTTTGAGAGTCTTACATCTTCTCTTTTAGCATTACCTTTACAACCTTAGCAATATTCCTATCAGTGTGAAGATATAACATGCACTCTGGGTGGTTTTCACAGAGGGCTCAGCAACTGTCAGAGTCCAATCGGTGAGTTTGTGTTAATGCGAGAAAGAGCTCAGAAGGAGGGTAAGAGTGGTTGTACAACATGAAGAATATAATCAGGGTCACAAAATTGTACATGTAGGCATTGTTGAATTGCTCTATGTTGTATTGTTTATACTGTCATCAATAAAAAGAAATGAAACCATACTAGATAAACAAAACCGATAATTAGATTTAAGGAATAATGTCTTTAAAATAACAAAGCATATTGTGTTGTAGTTTATAAAAACAAGATCCAAAAGAAATTCCCCAAAAAGTTTTGAACATTGGCATTGTTAGCATAAATATATTCATTTTCAGGTGACTGCTTTGAAGGACATTTGCTTAATGTATAAATTCTGGTTTGTGTGTTTAAAAAATTATCGTCTTTACCTCATAGTTAACATCTTGCAATTTGAGGAGGATCCAAAGGTACACAGTGAAGATTAAATTACTTTGCTAGTCACTAAAAATTGGGCCTAACCAGGTAAAGAAATAATATGGACATTGAGAGGATGCCTTATGACACCAATGGGAGCAAGTAGAAGTCTGAGACAGTCTATGGTTATTATTATCATAAGCTTTTAAGAGTGGGAGAAAATGATCTTGAACATTTTAGAAACTTCTATGGTGTCTTTGAGCCCAACAAATTTAAAGAGGGAATTTATAACCAGAGTCCTTAGGATATACACACTCTTTTATATACATATCTTATGTTTCTCTAATTGTAAAGATTTAAAAATAAAAAATACAGATGGGAGAAAAATCTATTTGTAATTATGCCTGTCAGAGAAATCCTCATTAACCTTTGATAACGTCTTTTCTGCTACATATTGTTTTAAAATATTGAGATCATACTGCACGATAATTTGAATATTGAGTTTTTCTTTTTAAAATGATCATAAATTTTTCTAATCAATAAAAATTCTTTGTGAAAAACCTTTTAGTAGTGATGCTTTGGGATTTTTATGGTAGATTCCATAGAATTCATAAAGTTTGTTGAATTATTGGAGAAATAACAATCATCACTTCTCACACATTCATAGTGTCTGGAAAACAATATGAAATACAGACCCACAGGCATCTGACAACAACTAAACTGACTTCTGTCACATTGATTTCAGCTCAGTGATCTCATGTGTCTCGGGGTGGAACTGCTCCATGGGATTTTCTTAGCTGAGCTTCATGGAAGCAGACCTCTAGGTTTTTCTTCAGAGTTCCTCTGGATGAGTTGTTAGCTTACTAATAGAGTAGAAACCACTTGTACTACCCAGGGATCTCTTAGTTCTGTAAACACAAAACTGAAACTCACTCCCAGTGAGTCTATTTCAGTCCATAGCTGACCTTCCAACAGGTTTCTGAGGCTGTAAATCTTAACAATAGAAGAATGGTCGTCTGTCTCCCTTGGAGACACCATTGAATTTGAACCATTGGAGACACCCACCTTTTTGTTAGCAAAGCAACAAGCTACAGATTATGCCACCAGAGCACATTTTAGTTTGATAGGCTTTACTTAATATCTGTAAATATTCTCTTTGCTGATATAAAGCTTTAGTTACTACTTTCTTGGATATAGAATCAAGAAAAAAAAAATTTTCCCCCTTTTTCTTTTGCCACAGATGGTTGGAGGCAAAGTAAAGAAACCTGGTAAACGTGGTCGGAAGCCAGCCAAAATCGACCTGAAAGCAAAACTTGAGAGGAGCCGGCAGAGTGCAAGAGAATGCCGGGCCAGAAAAAAGCTGAGGTATCAGTACTTGGAAGAGTTGGTGTCCAGTCGAGAAAGAGCCATATGTGCTCTCAGGGAGGAACTGGAAATGGTAAGGAAGTCTGTCTGTAAACATATGAAATAAGCAAAACTTACAGCCAAAGAAATACTTTAAAACAAGAGTCTAAATGTTCATGCATATTTACGTGGCAAACATCAGAAAGAGTAAATAAGTGTTCCTGTACTCTGTGGGAGCTGAATGTACATGACTGTCTCATTAAAGAATTGTTTATGATAAGAAAAAAAATGGAAAACAACCCCAATGTGTAACAGTAAGTGATTGGTTAAATAAATGCTACTGTATTTAAATATTAGACTACCTTACAGCCAGTAGAAATCACAAAACACATATTTCACTTATTGAAGTAGAAAGAAGTTCAAAATATATTGCTATCTTGAGAAAACAATATGGCAATATGTAAAACATGCATCGTATGGTGGCATTTGTGTTTGAACGTATGTATCTAACATGTTTTATGCATTAAGATTTTGTGTAGTACTGATGAAAATATAAGGAGGATAGGTAAAATAGAATTAAAATCCTATTACTGTTAGCACTAAATCATTTAAAATTAAGAAGGGTGTGTGTCAGGGTTGTATCGTCTCTCCCTACCTATTCAATCTGTATACTGAACAAATCATTCAAGAAGCTGAACTCTGTGAAGAAGAATGTGGCATCAGGCTTGGAGGAGGAATCATCAATAACCTGTATTATAAAGATGATACAACCTTGCTTGATGAAAGTAAGGAAGGACTTGAACATTTGCTACAGAAGGTTAAACACTGAAGCTTTCAATTTGGATTTCATCTCAACATCAGGAAGAAAAATTCTTACCACTGGACTGATAGACCTTGACAGACAGAGAAAAGACTGAAACTTTCATCAACTTCATCTTATTTGGATCCACAATCAGTACACTCAGAACTAGCAGTCAGGAATTCAGGAGATGTATTGTGCTGAGAAAGTCTACAATTAGGGACCACTCCAAATTATGGAGGAGCAATGATGCCAATTTGAGGAGTAAGGAATACCTGACTTGGGCTCTGATCTTTCCAGTCATTTGCTATGCACCTGAGAACTGTACAGTGAATAAGGATAAGAAAAACTGATGCCTTTGAACTCTGGTGCTGGAGAAGAGTACTGAATATCCCACGGACTGCCAAAAGAACAAACAAATATGTCTTGGAGAAAGTGCAGCCAGAGTGCTCCTTAGAGGCAAAGATGATAAAGCTTCATCTCATATACTTTGGGCATGTTGTTAGAAAAGGCTATTCCTTGGAGAGCAACAGTAAAGGAGAGGAAGACCCTCAACTGGGTGGATTGACAGAGTGACTGCAGCAATGTGCTCGAGTGTGTCAGACTATAAGGATGGCACAGGGAAGGACAGGGTTCAGATCTGTTGTTCATAGGGTCACTATGGCTCACTGGCACCTTATTAATAACAACTACTGTGAACTCAGTAGGTGACAAGCAGGAAAAGAGAGAGATGGTACTAAATATGTCCAGTTATAAGACTGAATGGGCTGCCACATATTTTTAAAAGAAATAAGGTTGCATATGAGAAGAATCCAAATACACGTTATTCAAAGTTTTTTGTTATTATTATTATTATGAGTTTGATTTGTGCTATAATTTATTTCATGCCTTCTGTGAGGTAATAAATAATCTACCCATTGCTGCTGAGTTGATTCTGACAAATGATGGGGCAGAGTATAAGTGTCTTTAAGGACAGTGTTTATATAACGTGGCCTAGTGCTACAGTGGTTGAGCACCAGGCTGCCATCTGAAAGGCCAGTAATTTGAATCCTCCAGCTGCTCCATAAGAGAAAAATGTGGCAATTTGCTCGTGTAAATATTTGTAACATTGAAAATCTTAAGAGGCACTTCCACTCTGCCTTATTGGGTTGCTATGAATTACAGTGACCATAATAGGAATAACAGGTTTAGGGGTTTTGTTTGTTTAATCTTTATGGAAGCAGATTGCTACATTTTCCTTCTGCAAAGAATAAAAATACAGTGAGCAGTTTGGACTTTGACCTTGGTTCCTGAGAAGTAATCTTTGGAATTCCCTTAGTAATAGATATAGTGATTCTGTATATTCTTTTCATCTTCATTTGATTTCATGCATCATTCATTATTTTTCCGATGTTGTTGTTAGGTGCCTATGAATCAAGTGTGACTCATAGTGACCCTACGAACAATAGATCTGAACTCTGTCCTAGCCTCACCATCTCTTGATACAGTTAAGCTTTTTGCTGTCCTTCCACATTTCCAAGCATGGTGTCCCTCTGTAAGGAGTAGCCTCTTTAGCAAAATCCTCAAAGTATGTGAGACAAAGTGTTGGGGATTGTTGGGGACGAAGGGAGGGCCTCTGGCCAGGACAGATCGCCTAGGTCAGGATAAGTTCAAGCCTCCCAATGGCCTTTTAGATTGTGATAGAGAAAGCTCCCCTGTGTTTGGCCTTACCAGCTTGAGAAAGCTCAACACCAGGGAAGATGGTTGCCACATCTCTTGAGCTGGGAGTGGTCCGCATGAGGCTGAGGTTCTCCTTACCAGTCTCTATGTCCCATGTCCGCAAGCCCACCCTATCATGTCGTCTTGTTTACTTGCTCATATATAAATGTGCTGCAGCCCCCAATAAAGTTGAGCTGGATTGACACTCTGAACAGTTCCCGGAGTGGTGTGTCTCGGTGTTGTTGTTCATTGCTGGCGAATGGACAGCTACAACAAAGCTTTATCATCTTTGCTTCCAAAAAGCACTCTAGCTGCACCTTCTCCAAGACATATTTGTTTGTTCTTTTGGCAGTCCATGATAGTCATTTCTCCAACACCACAGCCCAAAGGCATCAATTCTTCTGTCAATCCTTAATCATTGTTGTGCTCTCAGCAGTATAGCAAGTGATTGAGAAGACCATGGCCTGAACTAGTCCTCACACCTGCATCATCTCTGTTCAGTAATTTGGAGATGTCCCTAACTGTATACTTTCCCAGTGCAGTATGTCTCCTGTCTCCTGACTGCTGGTACTAAGTGTACTGATTGTGGGTCCAAGTAAAATGAAGTTGTTGACAGTTTCAATCTTTTCTCCATCTATCAAAATGTTGCCTATCAGTGGTGTGGTGAGGATTTTTGTTTTCTTGATGCTGAGATGAAATCCTTATTGATAAGGCTGCAGTATTTTAACTTTTTGTGGCAAGTGCTTCAAAATCCTCCTCACTTTCAGCAAGCAAGATTGTGTCATCTACTTAAGGTTATTGATGATTCTTCCTTCAACCCTGATGCCACATTCTTCATAGAATACAGCTGCTTAAGTAATTTGCCCAGCATACAGATTAATTAGATATGGACAGAGGTTTCAACCCTGACACACACCTCTCAATAGCCTCTTGGTTTAGGTATAGGTTTCACACAAGCACAATTAATTGTTCTTGGATTCCCATTCTTCTCATTATTAGCCTTAATTTGTTATGATCCACACAGTCAAATGTCTTTGCATAGTCAATAAAGCACAAATAGACTTTCTTCTGATATTCTTTGTTTTCAGCCAGGATGTCAGCAGTGCTCTTGCTAGTGCCACTGCCTCTTTTGAAACTACCTTGAGCATCTGGCAGTTCTCTGTCGATGTACTGTTCTAGCCGTTTTGGGAAGCTCTTCAATATTTTTGCTTGCATGTGATAATACTCAATAACTTCCATTCTGTTGGATCTTCTTTCTTGAGAATGGGAACAAATACGCATCTCTTCCAGTTGGCCAGGTTTTCCAAATTTCCTGGCATAAACTTGTGAGCACATCCAGGGCTGTATTTGCCATTTGAAATATGTCACTTGGTATCCTATCAATTCCTGGGGCTTTATTTTTTGCCAATGTCTTAAGTGCAGCTTGAACTTCTTTCATTATCACTGGCTCTTAATCATGCAACCTTTAATAGTTGGAACATAGAATGTGCTGCAAACATCCTTTAATAGTTTGACTATGGAATGCATGAATGTTGGAAAACTAGAAGCTATGAAAAATGAAATGGAATGCATAAACACTGACATTCTAGGCGTGAGATGAGATGGACTGACTTTGGCTATTTTGAATCAGTTGGTCACATGGTATTCTATGCAGGGATTGAAAAACAGGAAGAATGGTGTTGGGTTCATAGTTAAAAAGATAACTTCAAGTTCTATCCTAAAGTACAATGTTGTGAGTATAGAATATTATCCATATGTATATAAAAAAAGACCTACTAATATGGCTATTATTTGACTATAAGCACTAACAGCCAAAGCCAGAGAGGAGGAAAGTAAAGATTTTTATCAAATTTGGCAGTCAGAAATTGACCAAACATGCAAGCAATTAAGATTTTGCTTATAGAATCCAATCCTTGAACTCAAGGATTGAATTTTTTCTTCAGTTTTTTTAGCTCAAGCAATACCAAGTATGATCCTTCTTATCATTTTCATATCCAAGTCTTGCACAGTCCATTTTAATACTGTCTCCTTAAGCTGCTCTTTGAAATCTTCTGCTCAGTTCTCTTATTACATCCTTTCTTCGTTTGGCTTTGTGTTCTCAACATTCAAGAGTATGTTTCAGAGTCTCTTCTGACATCCTTTTTGGTCTATCTTTCCTGTATTTTTATTGGCCTTTTGCCTTCTTCATGCATAGATGTCCTTTGTTTCATCTCACAACTCATCTGACCTTCAGTCATTAGCGTTCAGTGCTTCCAATACATTTTTTAGAAGGTCTCTGAATTGAGGTAGGTTAAACACAAAGTTGTATTTTGACTTTTGTGAACTTGTTTTCTTTTTCTTCAGCTTCAGTTTAAACTTGGTTATGAGCAGTTGATAGTATGTTCCACATTCAGGCCCTAGCCTGGTTCTCAGTGTTAATATTACATTTATCCACATCTCTTTTCACACATGTAGTCAGTTTGATTTCTATGTATTCCATCTGGTGAAGTACAAAGGTAGAGCTGATTTTTATATCTTTTTCTAAAAAAAGGAATTTGCGAGGAATGTCATTGGTTGTACAAGATCTAGCATGTGATCTCTTGCCTCATTTCTGCCACCAGGCACATATTTTTTACTACCAACCCTTTTTAAATTTTTTTTCCTTTTTAAAATTTCTAACTTTTGCATTCCAGTCACCAATTATTAATACATTTGATTGCATGTTTCATTTCAGACTGCTGAAGTTAGTAGAAATCTTTATTTCTTCATCGTTGTTATTTAGTACTTTACAGGTAAATTTAAGCAGTAATTGAAGAAATTGGTCTTCCTTGTTTGCACATAGATGACAGTATTATACTTTAGGACAGCTCTCCAAATGTCCTTGACTGTGAATGTAACACCATTCCTCTTCAGCTCTTCATTGCTGGCATAGAAGACCGTATTAATTTCAACTGGCCGATTTCACTTTGCTGAGACCTAAACTAGGGAGCTTAGGTGGGCTAGTGGGTAAGGAGTTGCACTGTAAACCCAGAGGCAGGAGGTTTGAATCCATCAGCTGCTCCACGGGGGAAAGATGGGCAATTTCCTCCAGTTTATTGTCTCTGAAAACCAATGGCCATGAGAAAGAAAGATTAACTAGGATATCAATTTTTGTACATGCAGTTTCATTTTCATAGCTTCCATTTTTCTTGATTCATACTTTGTACCTTCTGTGTTCCAATTATTATGAGTATTTTCAGCAGTTCTCATTTTTAATTATGCCAAATTGAAAACAAATAAAGATCCTTCATTGGCTGAAAGCTTTATTCGTGCTGACATTAAGGTATATTGTATTTTGAGGAGGATGCTCTTTCCCATTTGGAGTACTTTCCAACCTGAGGTTGTTCTCGTGGCCTTGGCCATAGGGAATTGTGCACCTAATGCAAAGGCTAGGCCTTTCTGATGATTTCAGTCTATACGCCTCTCCTTAGGAGAAAGATGGGCAGTCTGTCTTGTGTGACTTACAGACACAGAAACTCAATTGAGGGTCAGCTTTTGAATTAGTTCTAACTCAATGGTAATGAATTTTGAGTTGAATTTCCAACCTGAGAGCATCATTTTCCAGCACTATTTCACAGTTATCTGCTGCTATTATTAGGATTTTCAAGAGCTCCTTACTTCAGAAGTTCTGCTTCCTGGTCTGCCAGTTCCACTGAAACCTGTCCATCCTGGATGGCTCTGCTGGTATTTGGAATACTAGTGGCATAGCTTCTAGATCACAGCAACATGCAAGCCATCACAGTCCAACAAACTGATAGATGAGTAGTGACGTATGAATGACAGGCTATTGAAAATACTGTGTTTCGTACAGTAGTTGAACACTTTGCTGGTAATGGAAGGTCAGTTGTTAAAATCCACTTGCCACTCAGGGAAGAAGATGGGGCAGTTCAGCTTTGTCCTTCTAGGTCCTCTGCTCGTCATTCCTGGCACCATGTTCTCCTTCATAGAGTCCACCTTCTCAGGTACTTGCTCAGCAGACAGGCTGAATATGTGTGGTGAGAAGATACAACCCTGGCATATACTTTGCTGATTGTATACCAGGAAAGTATGCCCTTGATCTATTTTCATTATACTGCCTCTTGGATTATGTACAGGTTTTCCATGAGCACCGTTAAGTGTTCTAGAATTCCTGTTTGTAGTGTTACCCATAATTTTTATAATCCATACATTCAGTTATATCTACATTGTCAAAACACAGGTAAAATCTTTCTGGTGTTCTCTGCTTTCATCCAGGATCTATATGACATCACCAGTGATATCTCTCATTATATGTTCTCATCTAAATCTGTCTGGAATTTCTGAGAGTTTGCTGTCAGTGTATTGCTGCAGCAATTTTGTAATGCGTGTCAGCAAAATTTTACTCTCTGAGGTTCCCCTTGATAAAGAATTCATGGCTTTACATATTGTAAAGCTCCCACTGGTGGATTCAGGAGTCCGAAAAAAAAGAATAGGTTAGGGAAAATTCCCCTTGTACTTACTGGGTGGTCAGGAGTGACTCCAATCATAGAGTAAAGCCCAACTATAAAGACAATTATTAAAACTCTATGTAAATTTCCCATCAGTAAATGAACAGGTAGAACAACAATGGCATATTCACACAATGGAAAATTATGCATTGAAAAACAATGAAATAGTAAAACATTACTCAATGTGGGGGAACCTTGAAGACATTATGCTAAGTGAAATATCTTGGTCATAAAGGAACAAATACTGCGTAACATTGCTTTTATAAAATAGGACAGACATGAAGAGGTTGAACACTGCACTAGAACTGGAGGGGAAGAACTGTCTGAAAGGAATATGATTTGGCATCATATGTATGAGAATAACCTGGAACAAGGGGTATATTATGTGGGCTGGGGGAGGGCTGAGGAGAGGAAGAGAAAAGATGCAACAATGAATTAAAAAAAATTTTTTTTACAGACTCCAAATTGAAAGTATTTCTCATTGGACTTTTTTTTTTTTTTTTACTATACCATCATTCTCTTTTTCTCTGAACTCTCAATATTGTCTTTTCAAATTGCCACCACTCTTCTTTTGCTTTTCAAAAAGAGCAAACTGGGGTGGGGGGTTGGTGGGCAGAGAGAAAAGTGCAACAATGAATGAATGGAAATCCAAAATCTCTGTAAATGTTCACTGAAATTAATTTAAAAAACCCAACCAAATAATATGTAATTAAATTTAAAAAAAATTGCCACCACTCAATCCCAGGCTGCATTTGTAGTTTAATTGTATTTTTAGCTAGAGAGAGGGCTTGGCTAAAGAGATTGTTAGGGAGATGTGAATAGCTGATAATATGAGCTATTTGTAGACATTTGCATCATTTATTAATCACAGTAAATCTCTAATTAATGGCCTATTTCAGGAAACTATTCTTCCATCCAGAATGAACTTCTTAATCTCTACAACACATCAGTATATAAAAAAGGGATTTATTAAGTTTTATCAACCCTCCTCAAAGATAGCAGCTCCCCTTCATGTCCTATGTTACAAATAAAAAATAAAGCAGAGGGTTAATTCCTGGCAGCCAACTTGATCTCTAGTTATAAGAGTGTTTCTGTTTTGTACTTCTACTAGTCATTTTTTAATTCATTGATGGTAACATTTTACTTACATTTTTCAGTACAAGCAGTGGTGTATGGCAATGGACCAAGGAAAAATCCCTTCTGAAATAAAAGCTCTACTCACTGGAGAAGAACAGAGCAAAGCTCAGCAGAACTCAAGCAGGCACACCAAGGTTGGGAAGACCGAAGCTAATAATTCTTGTGAGTACAGTGTGTGGGAAAATTTATATTAAAGGACTGTCTCAGAGTAGGTTTTCTGTTGACCATTTTCCTTAGAATGGGCCTAAAGAAAACAATCTTTCCTTTGTAACTCACTAATAAGCCAGTAAAATGGTACTGGATTCTAAATATTGATAGGCATTTATAGACATGGGTCTACAAAGAGCAACTGATAAAACTATATAGAATTTTTTTATTCAATTGATTGAGTCTATAAATCTGAATATATAATTCTTATTATTGTTAATAATACCCTTTAATTATATTTTTATTTATAGTTTACAAAGTCCTTTCACTTATATTTATCTCATCATCTTTTTTTTTTAAAAAAAAAAGTTTATTTTTTATTATGTGTGTGTAGTGTCAAATCGGATCTGACTAGTACAGGAGGAGATTGCCCCTCCTTCTCCAGCAGAATGTCTGGTGGATTCAAACTGTGCGCCTCTGGGATTCCAGTGTAGCTTCTTGCCACTAGGCCACCAGCGCTCCCTATTATCTCCTTATGTCTTCTAACAGTTGTGTTAAGTTCTACCTCTTTATGGAACAACAAATAGAAGAAGGTATAAGCGAGGTGCCAAGGGCCACAAATCTATGATCAGAAGACCTGTCCTCACCAGTCCAGACTCTTCTTACATTAAGATGAAATCCATATATCATGAAATGAACCATTTTAAAGTGAACAATTCAGTGGAATTTAGTATATTTACAATACTGTGCATTTAGACATCTCTGTCTAGTTCTAAAACACTTTCATCTCAAAAGAATACCCAGAACCCATTAAGCCCATGTTACCTGCCTCTAGTCCCAAGTAAACATTCTGCTTTCCGTCTTTATGGATTTACCTATTCTGGATATTTCATATAAATGGAACCATCTAAAAGTGACTTGTGTGTCCAGCTTCTTTTACTTAAAATAATGTCTTTAGTGCTCACCTATGATACGTCAGTACTTCATTTCCTTTGTACTTCTTTTGCCCTTTTTAGTGATATAATGGTACATTTTATGTATATACCACAGTCTGAATATCCATTCATCCTTTGATGGACATTTGGGTTGTTTCTCCCCTTTGGCTATTGGGAATAGTGCTGATATGAATATGCATATACACATGCGTGCTTGTGTACTTGTTTTCAGTTCTTGAGGCTATACTTGGTAGAATTGCTGGATGCTATGGTAATTCCTTCTTTAACTTTTTGGAGAAGCTCCTAATTGTTTTCTACAGTAGTGGAGCCACTTTGCATTCCTATCAGCCATGAATGTGTGAGGGTTCCAGTTTTTCAATATTCTCGCTAAGACTTGCTATTTCTCATTTTTTATGTTAGAGCTATTCCAGTGAATGTGAAATAGTATCTCTGTGTAATTTCTTTAATGATTTTAAACATCTTTTCAGGTAATTACTGTCCATTTGTCTTAGCTTTATTAGCATATCTAGTCAAGTCTTTTGTACATTTTTTGAGTTGTTAGCTTCTTCTGAGTTATAAGAGTTCTAGATATTAGACTCTCATTAGATTCCTGATTTGTAGGTAATATCTCTTTTCCCTTTGGTTATTTTTGTACTTTATTGATAATATTTGTTATATGAAAGTTTTTATTTTGATGAAGTCCCTTTACCCTGTTCTTTTATTGTTGGTGCTTTTGATGTCATAGTGGAGAATCTCCTGGCAAATCTGATTGTAAAGATTTATCTTTGTTTTATTATAAGAATTTTGTGGTTTTAGCTTTTATATTTAGGCAGTTGATAGATTTTTAGTTCATTTTTGTGTGTGTCAGGTAGAGGTGAAGCTCATGTTTTGGCAGGGAGCTATCTCATTCTCCTAACACTGTTTACTGAAGAAATGCTTAAGGATTTGGAAATGAAGGTGTCTTGTATTTATGTCATTATTGTGATTGTTGTATGTTGTGTACCATCTAGTCGGAACTGACCCATACTGACCCTCCAGCAGGTTTTCAGAGGCAGTTAATAATTATGATAAAATGTTATAAACTTTTCATCTTTTGGAAAAAAAAAAGTTAAACGACTTCTTGATAACTTTTTATAAGCTAGGTAACATTTACCTTAATATAAATTAAAATAAAGAAAAGTCTAAACCAGCTTGGTTTTTTTTCCCATTTATATTTTTTTATATTTACTATAAATATAGATACTAAAGGGAGCTCTGATGGCCTGCTCTGTAGGGAATTGTACTGCCAGCTCCAAGGTCGTGCCTGTCTGGTTCAAATCCATCAATGGCTCTGCTAAAGAAACCTAAGCAGTCTCCTAACATGAGATTCACAGCCTTGGGAACTCAATGGAGGGTCAGTGATGAGTCAGTTAAAACTCAACAGCAGAGCAACACCAAGGAGAGGGTGAAAAAAAAAAACAAACCTCTCATGCATTTTAAACAGATTAATCAAACATCCATAACACATTTCTACATGGATAACTTTTATTTCTTTTTCAGGGTGAAGATAATAAGATGAATCAGTGATTAAAACCAAGATTCTGATTCTCACTGAAGATGAATGGGCAAGATTGCACTTCATGGCTCTGTTTACTACCTACAGCTCAGTAGTCATCTCTGTAAAACTGCAATGTCTACCAGAATGTTCCATCATAGGTGTCAGAGGGCCTTCAATACTTAGAAATTTGCAGACATTCAGACCTGTGCGGGTTAGTGCTGCCGCCATGGCATTTAACATGTTGTAATGCTTGAAAACACAGGAGTAGAGACATGGGTTGAAGATTGTATTTTTGCACCTTAACTCCACATTGCTTTTCTGGATATTTATAATTCTTTCCATGTAATTAATGGAGTTGTATGTACATATGTGTCTGGTTGATGTCACCTCCTTTCATGTCTCTCATGACCCTACTAAGAGAAACCAAATGGGCTGATTCCTGCAAGTTCTCAGCCTTTATGGACCTAATCTTTCTTGTTTATATTTACTTGAGTAATATACACTTCCTACACAAACCATGATTTTTCCTGTGAGCCATTCCAGCATAAGCTGTGAATATATATTAACAAATGTATGCTTTTTTTATAATCCATAATGCTGTGCCTCTTTTAAATAATGGCCCTGTTATCAAAATCCATCAGAAAACATTTAAGAAATCTTCTATTTAATACCTTTGTTACTGTCTTATTTATGAAAGTTTGTTAGGACCTAATCTATACTTGGAGACTAGTTAGTGACATTTTCTTTTCAAGCAGGAAGTAAACTTTCAGGCATTTCACCAGCATGCATCATCTTGCAATCCAGAATATGTATGTATGTGTGTGTTTTTCTGTTGTATGTTTCTATATGTATGTGGAGAGGGCAGGAGTGAATGTTCACACACTTAGTGTTTGTGTGTGTGTATTCAACTTATTCAGAGGATTATTCTGAATAGGATGTAACTAGCTGCTGAGATTGAGTTTCTGCATCAAGAGATCCGGAACAAAATAAGAAACAAATTGATAGTAGATCTACTGACTATAGCCAGACACTTAGTTTGTTGACATGAGCATCCATATGAATGTGTTTTGAGCCAGAAAGAAACGCACTGGGTGTGTTCTGTTCAGCCCTGGTCATGCCTCCATTGTGGCCTTAACACAGGTGATGGAGTTAGGCACAGCACCATGGCTGGTGGGCCTGGCAGGAAGTATGGAAGGGCAGCCTAAGCCTCTCCAATTCCCATCACATCTACAGTTGTCTTTTCCTGACTGACTGTCAGCTAGTCTGATGCTTGAGAATTCAAACTCCTAACATGACACACTCAAATAGAGCTAGAATTCTTTTGATAGTCCCAGTAAGACACTATAGTTCTCACTTTCTTATAGGTAAATCAGAAGTTGTGCTCTCTGTTGCTGCTACATTATAATTGTTCTTCACTTTAATGAAGCAAATATTTGACTTCCATACAACTATCTTTTGTTATATAAACTATCTTTAGTTGAACTGCTAGTTTATAAGGAGGCATCACAGTTTCTGTTGTCTGTGAGGCAAAACATGAGATGGAGTATATAGGTTAAGATTATATTTCCGGTTCTCTCAGGCAGTGAGTTTGAATAAATTTCCTAAAGACCTCTTGTGCTTTGGTTGCAAACTCAGATCTCTGGTCTAGTCATGTGTGACTACTGATATACCACTAGCCCAGTTTATTGGGTCTCTGTGTTTTGGAGGACCGGGGATTTAGGAGTTTTTAATGTCTTTTTAGGATCACTAATACAAATAGATTAAGGATTGTTGATGTTCAGGCCTTAAGAATTTTAAGTATTTTAAGTATAGTGTTCAGATTGTAATGGGTATGTTTTTGCCATCTGGTCTACTGAATTGTATATTTTTATTTTGCAAAACATGCCACAACTTATTTTATGTTTCTCTATTCAGTACCTTTTAAATTCCCCAAAAAGTTGTTTTCAGAGCAGACATTCCAAAATAAATGTGGCTCTTCAATGGAATGACTCCATTGGCCTGAAGTATATCTTCCCTGGTTGTAATTCTTATTTACAGGTTTTGGTCATTTGAGGTTCTATTTTTTTTGCCCCCCCCCCCCGTTGTCATTACAAGACTAGTGAATGTGTCCTTAGATAGAGGACATTATAATTTGGGATAACAGTAAATTACATTTTGAGTATATTCCTAACTGTACCTTTTTGATATCTAGTAGTAGATCAAACCAAGAGACAATTCCTTGGTCATTAAAAGGAATGATTTGATTGCTTTGAGCACTGTGCTGACTGCACGCGTTGGATACTTTTGAATTATGCTAATAAATGCCACTGATTAAAACAGTTGATGCATTTTCTTCCCCTTTCCAGGTAAAGAGCAGCATAATGAAATCTTGGCGTCTCTCAGTCACCTGTAGGACAATAAAAGGGCCAAGAGAACAGAAGTGGGTGAGAGAATTAGTGAGCTCTGGCCTTCTAGAATAGTGCTGTTCTTGTTCTCTAGTAAACAAAGCCATGTTTTCTTTTTTCCCTAAAGATAAAAAGATAAGGGGGGAAATATGTTTGTGTGTTTAGATCAGTCATATTCTCTAATTAATTTAGCATAGACCTGTCACATAGCAGAGCAACTGAATAAAACATGGAATAAGCTTGACCAGGTCAAATATAGTCTAACTTCTTTTAAAAATACATCTTTTTGTTAAGTCTAAATCAGAATTTGTCTGAGTGTGGCAGTTTCGAAGCACTCTCAGCTAAGGGACAGTATCCACATCTTTAAATTATGATAGGCTTGATTTGGCTTTTTATAGAAAGTACTGAATTAACCTGGGCTTATCTTTAGTTGAAATAAAGGCAAAGAAAGTTTAAAAACATAAATATTTCACAAGAAATCAGTTGCATAGTATAGAAATCAGTTAAGTATTTTTAAAAGGGAAGATGATTACTATTTAACTGCATGGTATTTGAGGGGCATTGAAAGACTTTTTCTTTCTCTGAAGAATTGTACAATTATATTTTTATGAAAAATAAAATATCTTCACCAGATATACCTCCAGTTGTCTGCTTCATATACTGGAATAAAAATATGTTGTATATTGTTATTGTTAGGTACTGTAGAGTTGAGTATGACATCCTTTGTTTATCAGTAACACATTTTAACACAATGTGGTTAATTTTAGACCCAACATTGTATGTAATTTTATAGTACTTCTAACTATTTCCAGCTGGGTTGCTGTGAGTTCTTGGGTTCTCATCTTCTCTCTTACCACTGAACCTTGGAACTCTTTGACCTGGTACTTGTCATTGTTGGTCAAACAGGTCTACATGACTAGAGATAATTTGGCATATTTTATTTGAGATAAAGCAGCTTTACCTTATTCTGATGCATGTTATCACATTTTGGGGTGACTCTCGAATGGTTTGGGAAAATAGAGAAGGTAGGTCTCAGCTGGTAAACATAGTTAATGTGCTTTGCTGCCAGCAGATGGAAGCTGGAGATCCTGAATAGAAAGGCCTGACAATTTAATTCCAAAACAGCAGCTTTCAAAAAAACCTCGACTCTGATACACATGAGAAGCCAGGACTTGGAATCAACTTTACTGCTTCTGGGAAAAATATATGTATTAATGTCTCAGTGTTTTTGCTAAGTTTTAAAAGCCTCATTGGGTAAAGATTCCATTCTGATTCAGCAACCCTGTAGGACCCTATAGGACAGGACCCACTGAGCCCTGGTGGCCCTGGTAAAGAGCTGTGTTTCAGCCTGAATGCATGTGGTTCAAATCCACCAACTGCTTTGCAGGAGAAAGATGGGCAATCAACTCCCCTGTAAGTTGTTAGGTGCCATCAAGTTGATTCTGACTCATACCGATCCTGTGAACAACAGAACTCTACGCTGTCCTATCCTGTGTCATCCTCATCATCTCTGAAACAGAGGAGCTCACTGCTTCAGTCACAGCGTCATCCCATCTCATTGGAGGGTCTTCCTCTTTAACTGACCTATCTTTCCAAGCTTGATGTCCCTTTTCCAGGAATAGACTCTCCTAGCAATATGTTCAAAGTGTGAGAGACTAAGTTTGCCATCTTTGGCTCCAAGGAGCACTCTGATTGCACTCTTTCTAATCTGTTCTTATAAATAACACGTTTGTCATGTCTTTTAAGCTGTATCTTATATCTGACTCTAAAATAGTATACTTGAGGGATCTTGCTTTTAGTAGCCTATTAAGCTAATTTTAAGAACAATTCATGTTCCATCTGGCAATATCACATAATTACATAGAGCAGCACTTTCAGGCTACCAGGTATCTTGGTTCACTTCTTCCCTTACTTTACATTTTACTTAGGGTGGTGGTCATGAATGGCCAAGAGTGTCGTGTCTTGTAAGGTGATGCATTACACAAAGGCATCCAGCTGAGGAGGCAAGTGGACCTAAAATCGTGAGGAAGAAGGGACATCCGCTTCTTGTTTACCAAGTCAGCCATGTGCCACAAGTTTGCCCATAAGAGACTTTTTCCTAATTTGCCCAAAGGAGGTACTTTAATATTTTTTTTTGCAATCAGGAAAATATTTTTTATAAATATGGAGAACAATAAACGGTGTGCTCACAGCTATGTGGCATATGTCTGTCCAGAAGAGACTCCCTCACCCCTCACCCCCCACCCCAACTTACCCAAAGGAGGTATCTTTGTACTTTTCTTCCACCAAGGAAGAAATGGCTGACTCCTCCCAGGACAGTTAACTATACATCTCGTCCTACAGCCACACTTAGTGATGCCACATTGTTAACTTTTAACTGGCATTGGAGGGGGTGTTTAAACCACAAATCAGTTATGCTACCAAGAAAAAAATTCCAGCAAACAGGCTATCACACCACTAAAAAGTCCAGTGTAGCCAGAATGACACCGACCAGGCTAGACAAATTTGAGGCAGGCCAAGTATATGATTGAAGGACATGAGCAGGATTCATTCTGCAAGGCTGTAACACTTTAGAGATGTCCGTAGCAAGTGCATTCATGAGACACTTGATGTATTTCAGCAACTACTGCTGAGTAGCAAAAGAATAACAGCCCCCACCCTAGAAATGTGCAGGAGGCAAAAGAGCTGAATTCTTCAAATAAGGCTGGCTGGCGGCTGAGTGGACACAACCAAGTCAATTATTGTGACCTTATGCCCCAACAGGCAGGCCTTGGTCTTCGCAGTCACTTGCTATGCATCAGAAAGCTGGACAGTGACTAGGGATGATAGAAGGAGAATCGATGCCTTTGAGCAGTGGTGCTGGAAGAGAGTATTGACTATACTATGGATGTTAAGAGAATGAGCAAGTTTATCTTGGAAAATGTGAAACCAGGCTGCTCCTTGGAGGCAAGGATTCTGAAGCTTCATCTGACATACTTTGGACATGTTGCAAGGCGGGATCAGTCCTTGGAAAGGGACATCATGCTTGGGAGGGTGGAGGGACAGTGCAGGAGAGGAAGACCCTCTACGAGGCGCATTGATTCAGTGACTGGGGTAGTGGGGGTAGGTGTGTCAGAGACTAAGTTTCACACAGAATAGAGCAGGGTTCAGAGCTGTTGTACATGTCACTATCAGTTGCAAGTGAATGAACGACACTTAACAACATCAACAAGCCCCAACACTCAGCCTGGCGGTTGAGACAGTGGGAGTTAGGATGGTGAGCTCTTACAGGCCATTCTGATCATACAATGAAATACTGGGTATAAAAAATTTCCTGAGCAACAAATGAGTGACTAGCAAGTACTTTACAACTCAAGCCCAATATGGAACTGAGTCCACAGACTAGATCTAACAACACCTGAACCTAAGCTAGTAGGATTGATTAACCCAGAACCAGGCAGGCTAAAAGCCCATCGTGAAGATCAAATAAGTTTTGGGTCTTAACACTTCAGTGGAGCAAAGTCTACACCAGCCAGCACCACAAGAAAAGACAGAAGAGGACTTCTGGCTGTAAGAAAGAAAGATGTATCAAAGAGAGATTCTCCCCTTTTCAAGGGTGGAAATGGGCCTTGGTCCTACAACACGCGTAACAGTAAAGGCATTGCCACCTACTTCGTGGCATCTAACCACTATTTTTCTGTCACAAAAGGACAAATACTGCCTAACACTGCTGTTATAAAATAGGCCAGAAATCGGGGGAGGGGGAGAGAATGGGAAAAGATTGGATAGATAATGAACTCTGCATTTGAACACATGAAGGGAAGAACTGCCCGAAAGGAATACATGATTAGGCATTATATGTATAACAATCTGAAACAAGGGGTGCTTGGCGGGCAGGGTGGGTTGGAGTAGAGGGAAGGGGGGAGATGTTTAACAATAAAAAAAAAAGAAATAATGATGACTCCTCAGAGACAGTAATTCCAACGCTGAGTCAACACTTAGGGTTGGAGTGGTTTCCTAGGCTGTAATCTTTGCAGGAGCAGTTCTCCAGCTGGTTGGTTAACCTTTCTGTTTGCAGCCACTGTGCAGCCAGGGCTCCTTAAATAATCATATCCCCAAACTCAGCCCATCCTCGGGTTAGAACAGTTTTAGGCCCTGGCTAACACACTGGAGAAGAGATCTGAAAAAGGAGGAAAGCTCACGAAAGATGGCCAGGCCTTTTTCCAGAAGGAAGGAACAAGTTCATTTGAAGGTCAAGGTGAAAGTGAAAGTTCTTGGTGTCTTCTCTGTTGTGGTTGTAGCCACAAAAAATGTGAAAACTCACATGCCTGTGAGCCTTCTCAGGCCATAAAATCTCCACCTAGCACTAGCCAGTAAGGTGTCTTTAAACTGCATTCTAGTAGCATTACTTCTCCTAGAGAGGGGCAGAGTGAACCAGACCAGGTGTAGTGGTGAAAGGGAAGCCTTAGTGTGTCTGAAGGCTACAAGATACAAAAAAGCAGCACACAAACGAGTGTGAGAAATAAAGCGCAACAACCACAACCAGCTAAACATTTACCGTTTCACTAGAATCTTCTAAGAGTGTATAGAATGTGGAATCACTGAATCACTAACACTTCTAATTTGGTAAGACAGATTTTTATAAATCTGTGAGACACATATGCCTCAATGGACTCTTGGTGGCAGGATAGATAGAATAAGGCATGGAAAAACTATTATCTAATCCTGAGAATTGCACTTACCAATAATATACCACAAAGTAAATACATTTACAAGCTTGATCTGGATTTATAGAAGCCTTAAGAGACAACATTTTGTACCATCAATCCTCCGGGATGGACTCTGCTATTCAATAGCCTCACAATACACAGTCATGGTGCTGATAAACTTTCTACTTTATTCTATTTTGTGGTGGTGTTTGTTTTCCTTAAGTACTGATTTATTTACAAAGTTTGAATACATTGTTTTTCACAAAACTTCCTACTTTCTTCTACTTTGAGCAGTCACAGAAGTCCCGGTCCCAATACCA